GATATGCACTACTAAACATGACTTGTGTAATTGTGACAACCAACCCCATCGTGGGGTTGGTTGTCACACTTTTTACTTTCATCTAAATAAAAAAGAAATACTTAGTCAGTCTAATTTCAATGTGTAATGGAACCCCAAAGTGTCTTTATGAAATAGAAGAAACAAATCCTTCTCTGGAGGATTTATTTTAAAAGATATGCACTACTAAACATGACTTGTGTAATTGTGACAACCAACCCCACGATGGGGTTGGTTGTCACAAATGCACGAGCCATGTTTATTAGTGCCTATCATTTTAAATACATCCTCCTGAGAAGGATATGTTTCTTCTATTTCAAAAAGACACTTTGGGGTTCCATTACACATTGAAATTAGACTGACTAAGCATTTCTTTTTTTTTATTTAGATGAAAGTAAAAAGTGTGACAACCAACCCCGTTCTCCCCTAATCATTTTCATCTCTAAAGCTTTAAGATAAACCTGTAGTTTGTAGGAATTTGGTGATTTATCACCTATACAATAAGCTTATTTTGTTTAAAAGAGCATTGATTTGAAAATTTTATTTTTGTCCGAGGTGACATCAAGACTTCTWGCCCTATATTTAAAAAAGCAACCCCTAAGCTTCTCAATAAATATAATATGAAGAGACTTTCCTGCACTATGGCAGCTGGCAGAAATAAAAGGTGCATTTTAAAAAGATTATTTTAGAAGAGAAACCTGTTAAACTTTTGATTCAAAAGTAAATGTAGCTTAGGAAGATTTTATGCTATTTTAATTACTGGCAATAAATGATGGTGTCTTTATGGATTYATCTTACTTATTAATTATATCAAAGATCAATATTTTCACTTTTTTTGCGCAGCAGTTTATTCCGATTCATTTTACTAACACGACTCATAAATGTTGAGCTAAAGTTTGATGTGACAGGAGCGAAGGGGGTCACCAACAGATTCAACAGCTTTATTTAAAATTTTGTCCATATAGCTTTTTAGATTCAACTGTTAGCAAAATATATCAAGAACCTTCAAATGGATTTTGTTGACATGTTCAGGAAACAGTCACTATGTAAATTTATAGCTGATTAACTTTTGATGCCAACCCAATTCAAGATGGCCGTCTCAGAAACTGTTTTTAATAAACACTAAAACGGTTCAAACTCAAGCGATTTGAGCTACATTTTGGCAAGTTAGTAGCTGAGAGTCATTCCTAGCTYTGAGTGCWGACTGATGCAAAATGTTTTTAAAACTTTGTTAGTTCACATTTATTGAAATATCACAGAAACTACTTTTCTCCCATACTTTCCCAGACCTTGAAAATGCTAAAACTGCATTTTAAGACTCTGTAGGGAGCGTGTATTTGGAAAAATAAACACACAACAAAAAAGCACATTTTAATAATTGCATTTTATGAATTTAAAACAAACAAAAAAATGCAAATAAAAATAAAAAGAGCAAAAAACAAAACAGTGTCATTAGGTAAGACAAGGCAAGACACAAATAAAAGTCCTATCTGGGTGAGGGTAAGAGTGAAGGTGGGCCAATGGACGAGGAATGGAAGGCTGAGTTTTGTCAGATGGGACATCTTRGATTATTTACACTTATTATTTATCAATGCAGAACTGGCAGACCCTGAAGAGGGAGTGTGTGTGTGTGTGTATTGGGGGGGCTCAAAGTAGTACATCAGAGACACAAACACCAGAGAGAAAGGCACTATCCAGAGAGAACGAGAAACTAAACACAAAAACATAAAGTGGACTAGACAAAAAAAAAAGTGCTCGACCAAACATCACACTGAACAGACACAGAAACAACTGACATTATTTCAGCTCATTGTTAAAGTTGTAAGGACAATCTTTCATTTTCCTGAAGTGTGAATTTAGCTGCAGAGTTGCACTGGCTGATTACGCAAAACGATTACCCAAGCTCCGCCCACTTGTCTAAGTGCATGTAGAAGGGGCGGTGTGTCTGCAAATGCATGTGAACTACCTGTACACACCGCTTTCTAAAGGAATATTAACGCCACGAGTTCAGCATGTTTTTTTTTTTTAATCCCTTGTGTGGTTCAGCTCTCGACCGCGCTTCCCTCATGTTTGTAGATTCAGTCAGCTACATTCATTGCCAAAAATAAAATTGGCTGCAATAAATACATTGACTTTCAAAAAAGGTAGCTGGGGCTTTTTACTCTTATTTTTAAATACAGATTTCGCAGCATTCATGGCTCTAGACGCTGGTCAATAATTTCCTGACAGAACTAGTTTCTTTCAATGACTGACTTTTCTTTCTAAACTGTACTTGCATTACCGGTACGAGAAATCTTCAAAAATTAATTTATGATTACTAAAATGTCATTATGTGATGAAAACAAAAACAAAACAAAACTGGACTGACAATTTATCACATTCTAAAGTTACTAGGTCTTACCCAGGCTAACAGAAAGCAGAACATAATTTACAAATGGAAAACAATTTGTGATGAGATAAAAACAAACATACAAATATATAATATATAATCTTAAAAAATGGATTCTCTCTATACTTGATTCTTTTTATAAAGCCAACGGCTGATGTACAACTCACATGCCAATGGTTCACATGTGGAAACTTGTTATTAATGACATCATTTCATTTCTTCTTTTTTTATTTTTTAAAACCTTATTTATTTTTTACATTTTTATTATTATTTTTATTTCTTTTTTACCTTTCGTTAAAACAAAGTTAGGATTTACTGGTAGGCATTTCATCAAAGTGAATAAATCAACATGCGGCAAAGAAMAGAAGAACACAAAGGCAGAATGTTAAGAAGTAGAGGAGGGAGAAGCGGCTGTGGGTGCGGTAGAATCATTTAGAAATCTTCACGGTTGGTGCGCTAAGCTTTAGTTTCTCTGCGTTTTTGACAGTTCAGTCCTCACTGAGGCGTTCAGCGGGAAAGTGAACGTTCTCAGCACAAATGAAAGTTGATTCTGCTTTGCTACCACCCACGTAGCTGCGCCTACGATGGCACGACTCCCCGTTTGCTCTCTCAGTTATTTGCGTTCTTCCTGTCACTGTGGGATGGCCAAAGAGAGGTGGAGGGGTGGTTCAGGGTTGGATGGCGGGGATGATGAGATCGAGAACAATGATGGAGGGTGATGGTTGCTGCTGCTGCTGCTGTTGTTGTTTACACGGTCTTGACTGTTTACATGTTCCGATTGACCGGGGTGACGTAGTTGCGGGGGAACATGCCCGTTTGGCCGTGGCAGCCTCCTTTCCACCAGTTGGGGTCAGAGTTGTCCAGGACCTGAATGAAGTCGCCGCGTCTGAAGCCCAGCTCGCCTTCCTCTTGGGGGTCGAAGTCGAAGAGTGCCTGCACGTATGTGGGGTGCTGCTCCCCAAAAAAGATGGAAGAAAAAACAACAGACTGTGAATTGTGTGTGTAGCAGCGACAGAGCTTAGAACTAAATGCTACCAAACTTAAACGAACATTGTTTGAAAGCAATATTCTGGCATTAAAGAATTACTCTAGCTGTTCTGATAGGTTGTGTGCACCCAACAATAGACCTCTACRTAAATGACAGTATGTGCAAAATTAACCATAATAATGTTKAAGAAAAAYTGCAAACTACCAGAAAATGTTTGAAACTGAAGCCATTTTATAATGAAGCAATTCTCTTTAGTCTTGACTCWGTTGGACTTACAATTAGCTCGTTGGTCCTGTCAAACCTTAACTTTATTTTTACAAACAGCTCATTTAAAGAGCTTTAAAACAGTTACTTCTAACTTTCATGCACAACTCCACTTTGCCAGAATATCCTTTACAAATAGGAAAAATAGGTACACTTATTTAAAATTAGTCTTTGGTAAATGCTTAGTTAACCTTGAAAACATAGTTAAGGATGACACATTAGGCTAATTACTTCCAAAACCAACGTAATCATTGTTTATTCATGCTTAATAACTCATGAAATAACTATTCTATAAACTGTGTGTATGTATACAGTATGCTCATAAATATATTTTCGTGCTATTCAGAAGGTAAAAACTAGTCTAACAGTAGTATTAGAAATCATTCTCACATTCACACACTACCTTGTTCTCTTTATAAACTTTCTGTCAGCCACAAACACACTGAGTTTCTCTCTTTCCCTCTCTTACCTGAGACATCTCGTCTTTCTCTAAGTGGTTTTGGTTGTTTCCTCTCTGCGTTCCCCTGCTGCTGTCCCTCAGCCTTGCAGTCTGCAGCTAAACCACAGCTAACATTTATTTTAGGAGTGTTTTTTCTTTTCTTACTGCTCATCTCAACACTATAAAAAGGGATTGTTGAAATAAAAAACACTACTGAGATTGAGAGGATAAGACATTAACAGTGGTCCAGTTACACTGTATGTTTTCAGTTTGTAGCATCTTCTCTGATCATGACTGAGTTTTACTCATCTTTTCTACAATCAAAATCGAGAGTGGCTTCCTACACTCATGTCAGACAGAACTGCATGTAGAGATTATCTTTGTGAACTACACGGTTCTGCAGTATCTCGAACTTAACCACAAGTTATCCAAGTTGAGTAGGAGGCAAATATTTTTGTGAGCAAGTGCTCAAGTGAAACGTTTTTGCAGTACATTGTGAACTACATGTCAAAAACTTTACAACTCAAAACCATTCCGTTCAAAACAACACAAGTATGCATGTATATTTTAAGTCACTGTTATTAAAAAAAAGGTTCATCACAGAGAATTCATCCTTAACGTGTCTTTCCTTACCTGGGGAACCTGCTCTATGTCTCGCAAAAATATCTGCTGATTACGGGAAACTGAGGTGGTGCGATGGTAATCCACCAGCTCGTTGAGGGAGTTGAACTTCACCACCCAAAGAAAATACTTTCCAGCTCCGTCACGAAGAACTTTGAAATGCTGGACGTCATTTCCAAACCTGTAGATCATAAAGGTGCAAATTATGAGCAGGTAATACACAGAACAGCTCAAACTGTAGAATGTAAAGTGGCAGAGATTCTGAACGCTTTGGGTTCTGACCCACAAAAACTAACAGCAGAAGAAATTTGTGATCCAATTATTTTAATCTAATGTTTTTTACTTTTTTTTTTAAACAGCATGCTGATAGCAATCAACTTCAAACTTTATTTTTTTAATTCTGGAAATAATTTCAAGACCCCTCACTGACGGGAACTTTAGCAACCCCTGAACTAGAGAATGAAATTTATYTAAAATGAGCTTTCCTTATTCTAACCTCACTGATCCAACAAGCAGGCCTAATAGTCCAGTGTGTACGTATTAGTAAATAAACTGACCCTGATAATAATAAAGAAGCAGGAGAGCTCAGACTGTAATTAACATTCATATCATTCAAACATGTAGCCTGCAGCCATAGAAAAAACAAAAACAAACAGCAAGAACCAAAAGAATATTAACTTGACTGGCGTTTAAGATATTAGAAAAACAAAAAAACAAAAATAAAGTCATTGACGAAGAACTTAAGAAACTAATATTCAGTTCTGCTTTCTGCTGAAGTGGTAAAAAAAGAAAGAAAGAAAAAAAAAGATTTTAGAAAAACGGGTAAAAAAAGAAGYCACTTCTGCAACTTCACAAGAAAAAGGAAATAACTGTTGATGACTCAAATGTGACCCTTATAGAGCCTGATGATCTGATCAGTTTTGTGGAAACTCGTGAAGCGATGTCAGGATGATAATAATAAATCGTGTTCACAGATCACTGACTGTAGCTGGTGTTTTTCCTGTGCGTAACATCTGACTGATGCTACTCACTTCACAGACAGGGAGAAGTCCCCCGGTGCACTCTCGCTCTCTCTGATGAGGAAAGCCCCATCGTGCCTCTGTTTGTTTAGCATCTCCTCTGCTTTGGCCCGAGGAATCTTTCCAAAGAACCACCTGCAGAGGCAAACCAGAAAACCTGTGAGCTTGTTTTATGTTAAAGATAACAATGTACTCTTGTAAAAATCAGACACTTCACTGAAGTAACTGAGGCCTGTGGGAGGAAGTTGGAGGTGATAAAACATGAATAAACATCCCACCTCATGGTGGTCAACAGGTTAGGTCTGAGAAGGCAACAATAACCCACCAGCTGCGAGCTAAACTGGACCCAAGCCAGTATGATAATTCTGTGGGTCATGACACACCCACAGATTATACAGAATGTTTTATGACACCAGGAAGTATTGACAAGGTTTGTTCTGTGGATATTTGCCTGAAGACACCTATTCCTGGTTTAAACAACACCAACTATTGTAAATACTTGACTTTTATTTCTGTCCATTTTCTTTCTCTGCAGAATAGTCTTGAAAATTACCAGTTTTGAAACACTGGTCAGAAAACGATCAGACAGAAGGACGTCATATAAAATTCAAGGTATGTTTTTTTTTTTAGAAATCTAAGAAGGGATTTAAATAGCCAGGTTTCCCATCACTTCCAAGCAGCACATTTRTTTTTTTACTGTCTCCTATATTACTGTTATAAAAAACTAAAGCAGTGAAAAGCTTTTTATTGGAGTAAATAATTAACAAGTGCACTTGGACACATGATGGCACCTCAKCCCTTTTAGATGAAACTGGAAATTTATAATAAAACATCAAATTTTAATCAACTTCACAACTGTGCTTATCAGGACAGAAGCTCTGCAAAAGATTAAACTCTAGAGCATTTGTTAGTAAAAAAAAAAAAAAAAGAATTACAATCAATAACAATTGCATACATTGTTGGAAGGAGGAGTGTTTAAAGTTGATATTTTTCCACAAATTAACCCATTCATGACAAAACTATCACTGTTGACCAGGAGCAAGGATCTGTGTCCAAGCAGAACTGACTGATCTGAAGCGTCTTCTGTTGTCCTCGTCCACAGAGACATGTGGGTGCCTGGTACGTTTGTAACACACTGAACACAACAGGAAAACTCCAGGCACGAATGATCGGTTATTTTGACTCCACTACTGAATTAAGTAAGATTTTGATTTACAATAAACCCACATTAAAAAAAAAACTCACACCTTAAATCTACTTACTGTAGGAAGTCATACAGCAATATCTTAGACTTTTTAAAAAATATACTGAAGGTAAAAGCTAACAATGTTTGTTTTCTGTAAAATAAAGCTTCAACATGAACAAATCCAGTCGGGTTTAAGCAATGAACGTAATTATGGTAAATTTAGAGAGAAGTTTATTATTAATTATTATTTGGGGTGATGTTAAAATCAGAGTCACTAGAAAAAAAAGGCGCACAGTTATGACAGGACTGTGATTGATGCTGAGGACACCCCACAGTTTTAGTTGACCCATCTTCGTCTGTAGTCCAACAGGTTTGAATTTCTGAAGCCAAACCTGGATGCTATCAGGAGCAAAAACGAGYTGTCCACGTTTATTCTTTAAACTGCTGGCCTCATGAGAGTTTGATGCATTCTGTTGGCTTTAGTTGTTTTGAGAAAACGTAGTCTGTGGTCAGTCGTCAAWGTTAGGTGTGTGATCCTCAGCCTCATTCACTGGTTTCAGCAGATTGTTGTACAGTGTGTTAGTGTGTAAGTCTTGATCAAAATTTCATAGTCTGTCATCGACCCCAGACACCGTGTCTTGTACATTCAGTCAGACCTGTGTCCAGTACACTATGAAGTTTGCGTTGTATCCTTGGTCAGAACTTTGTGGGCGTGTCTGTTTATGCAGAACAAGGTGKGCTTCTTCTGCATGCTACTGCACTGAAAATGGTCYGCTCCCAGATGCCTGTTGTTATATTAGCAGAATGGACAACTTGGAGCAGCAGCTTGCCTGGTCCAATTGAGTATGTGAATGTCTTACATAAACATCCATGTCTTCTTTCCATCTTCGTAGTTAACAAAAAAAAAACCAGATCTTCCTACTCCGGCTCATCATCCAACATGAGCCTCAGTTTGGAGAAACRGAAATGAAATTGGACTGTACAGACGAGTTCAAGCAAATGCAACTTAAAAAACCTGTACACTCCTAATTTTAAGTTACACATCTTGGAAGAAATATGATATTCCTGCAAGAAGTGCTGCAGACTGCATAGGAAGTAATATAYATCACTGCAGCGGTTTATATGTGAGCTTGAAAATAACGGTAGAATTGTGAATTAAAATTTTTTTTTTAAGAGAATATTATGACGGATCGATCCATTTACTACCACCTCACTGACGTAAATTATCTGGAACTGATGGCAATGTAAAGGTTTTTAAAATCACATTTGCATAAAATCACTAAAATCTTTTGAGACTGTAGCCGTTTTAGGACAGCAGTAATTCACTTTGATCTTGGCTGAATTTGGACCAGCTGTTAGTTGTTCGACCAAAGAGTTGCACAAAAACTAAAAAATAAAACTACAATTTTTTTTAAAGACAAGCCTAATAGAATAAGAATTGTCCTTTAAAAGAGTTATATCTGACTGCAATGATGCAGTGAGGTCAATATTCAATTAAGTTTAAGAGGCTTTAAGCACATTAATAAAGAGAGAGGTAATCTGGCACCGACTGAGGGTCCTGAGGGAATGTTCTCCAAGGATCCTGCCAAGATTTACCTAAGAGGTTCCACACACAAACKGAACTCCACACACTGCTATCAGTAAAAAAACAAAACAAACAAAAAAAAAAAACTAAAAAACAAAACATTTGCTTTTACTAAAAACTGGCGTGCTCATGATAGTTGCCACCTACTGTTTATCCTGTATTCAGTTTTGGAGCAGCAGTTGTGAACATTCTCAGAAATGAATGYTGCACTTGTACAGATCAGAAAATACAAGCGAACAGAAAAGGCAGTGGAGATGCATGCAAGACCAGAATTCATATGACTTATTCACATATTGCTTCACGCAGCATTTCTGTCATCACTTTAATGGCAACAGCACACTGTCTGTATTGTTATTAGTGGTGACCTGATACCAGTATTTTAAGTACTCCTACTCGTTCAAAATGCCCTCATATCTGGAATGGATAGCTTTATTTTTTGTGTAGACATTCAAATTAAATCCAGCATTAGACTCAACTGTGAACACTTTATGCCGTTGATGTGACGTCACATTCAGCTCWTTGTTTACAGGAGTAAACAGGTCTCTACACATGGATGCTACAATAGTTATCAGACATGCTGCACAGTTTACATTTGAACCTGTCTCGGGTTGAATGCTCTGGTGCAGCTTTGTATTTAGGGAACGAAGCGACATGCTGGAAGTAAAACCAACTAAACAATCCAGTAACTTTCTTATGAACACGATCCGACACAAACGTTTCTATCATGCATTTCTGTGGATTCTCACTAAAAATCTGTTTTGTAGTTGAAGACAAAYGGAGCTAAAAGATTTGAACTTCCTAACTCAAGGTTAGTGTTATTATTACTTGGATCGATMCGTATACTACCACCTCACTGACGTAAAAGTCGGATGAAATGTGACGTGAACATTTAGACAGACATAACATTCTCTTAAAAAAGCTTAACTGCTTTTATGTCTTAGTTTATAAAATATAATAACTAATTAAATTATAGTACCACTTAAGCTTTAGATGCTTTGTATTGAATTTTTCCCAGAGTTATATTACAGTTGATGGGCAAATAAAAGAACACACTGAGCTTCACTGATTTATTGCGTTTGTAACTTCTGGTTTTAAAAGACTCAGACAGCAACAGTCAACACACYGAATTCAAGGTCTGGATGACAGGTGTCCTACTTTATGCCATCTGTGAGTGAGGTTAAAGATCACACACAATCATATCTCACTAAGATTAAYACAATAGGTATTGTTAGAGAGCAGACAATGTAGTGTAAGCCTGAAAAACGTTAACATGCATGAACAAATCAAAGTGTTTGACACAAGTGACACTTTTACAGGTAAGTAATGAATATCTGCAATACTTACGGATGGGCTTTCATCTCTATGTAATTTTTAGGAATGAATCCATCTTTTCCRTTTAGTTCTGCTTTGTACCAGTTCTGATCACACTCTTCATTTAACACCTGAAAGCACAAAGAAAAAGMAAAAGTCAGTCACACCAGCAGCTACTGATTCAAGTTCTTGTGACCTCTACGGGTGAATGTACTGAAAAATCAAGAAYAAGTAAACGTCACAAAACAGCACGAAGAAAAATACAAATACAATCCAAAGCAGAGGTTTTCTGTTGTTTTCTGCTGCTTTTTTGATACAGAACAGGAGATATACTGTTTAACTGACCAATATACCACAGGGACATGTGAAAGCTACAGAGCAGATGTGCTGAGCAGTGGTGCATCTGTGTGCAAAAACATCAGTATTTTTGTTTTAAGTGTTCTTCTGCTACRTTCAGTGATGCTCGCTCAGTTTCTGAAAGCTCACATCTGTACTGGCAGGCTTGATTTGTGAGAGAGCTTGAAGACAGTCTTTGCAGGCATTTCTCTTAACTGTTTTGTGTGTTTAAATCTTCATTGCCCCTCTCCTCACATTCTAGTAACATTCAAGTAACTCTGGGCTGCAGAGTCACGTTTTGTAAACACTGAAAAGGCCTAACACAGGGGTATCCTCGATCCTGGTCACCGCTATCCTGCACGTTTCGTTTTCCTGCCCAAACACACCTGATTCAGTGACCCAACAACCTTTTCAAGTTCTGTAGAAGCCTGTTAATTACCCATTCAATCAAAACAGGTGTGTTGGAGCAGAAAAACCTCTGAAACATGCAGGAGGATGGCCCTTAAACTTTTTAATTAAAAAAAATATGCAATGTAATTTCTATAAACTTGTTTACTTATAGCTCAGTTTGATCACACGCTTTTGTTTTTCATTTTTAGTATTGTTGTAATTGTTTTTACCACACCTCTGTTTTACTATGACCCTCCCCAAATACACAGCAGATATTACAAAATAAATGTTATGGCAGACTCCACAAATGTTGGGTTCGCAGTTAGATATCTGGCCTTTCAAGAGCCTTTAGTCAAGAAACCAAGAYGCTTCTAATCAAAGCATTATTATWTCTTTGTCATTTGAGCCTTTTCTSATATAACCTTGTTAGAGAATCCTTCTGGTGATCAAAGGTTCTGATGCAACAGTTTTGTATGATGCTCTGATTAGAGCTGGGGACAAAGAGGTGAACTGAAGTTTAGACTTTAGTTTAAATAATCCAGTGAATAAAATCTGTTTTCTGAAAGGAGTTGTGCATGTGTGAATGGGAAACATATTGCAAAGTGCTTTGCACAATGGCTGAGGTTAATAGCATTAATTTTAGTGCAGACCTGCTTTCATTTCTCTCTTAAATTTATAATCTACCATTTCCAATCCCAGGACAGCTGTCTGATTGGTGCCTGTGCAGTGAGAGTGAGCAGGGTCCATTTGCTCCTGTAAGCCTGCAGAATGCCAGCTGTCTCTGGCCGTTCCCAGCTGCTAACTCTGCATAAAACCAGCATTAGAGAGCAAGGGAGTGGCACTGGAACAAAATCAAATGTGAGTGGCAATCAGGAGTGGGAAATGAGCATGTGCCTCAGTGAGTGTGCACGYGTGACAGGGATAGAAACAGGAGAAAATTGTACAACAAAAAGATGAGAAGTGAGAATGCACATTAGTTCTTGTCAATGTGGCACAGTCTAAGCCAAAACATTTCAAAAGGGATACTTGTGCGATATGTTGACAAAATAAAATAATTCTACACGGTGACACCGTTTGATGACAAACAAATGTAACCTTTTTTTGAAATAAAAGAAAAAGAATCATAGCAACTTCAGAGTGACTGCAAGAAAACATAAACTTTGTGTTTGTACAACAGGTGAAGTCTGAGTCATATACTGTTAACAAATCACATGATAAAAAATGTGGAAAAAAATGTTTTCCATTTGTCTTATGAATGCCCTGATATTTGTAGCAAAGTATGTAAATATTTTTGACTGTATGCCAAACAAATTTATTTTATAATACTGCTACAAGAGATGGTGGTTATTATGATATCACTGAAACAAAAAAAGATAGAAATGATGACAAACTGAACAGGTCATTCAATTTTACTATCATTACTACAGAATCAACCAGCCCAATCTGCCAAATCATTCTCAGGAACACAAGGGAAGTTGCAACACACCCAAAATATGAATAGCAAAAAATGTCCATCACCCTTATAAGGAAAGAAACTTCGGTTTGATGTGGGAAAAGATTTTAGGTAGCAATCAATCCATAAATTGTACATTTGTCTTAAATAAAAAAAGTTACATTTAGCTAAACCCTGCAGGTAAATTTGAGACAAGAACAGCACCATGAGAGCACAGTCAGGAGCATCACGTGACGTGCAAGTGGCTTCATCTGAGTAAAACCCTGAYGGTGCGCTGGTAGTCCTGACCGAGAGGAAGAGGTGAGGTTTCAGTATTGTCTTGAAAAAAGAAAAAGAAAAAAATCTTAAACAGTAGGAGTACAAAGAAAGACAGWACTGTAGGCAGAGAGAAAGACAATGACTCATCAACACAGTTGAGGTTCAAGGCCACTTGTGGGCAAGCAACCACTCTGCTGAAGCTCCCATGAAACCAGCTCTAGTGCTGCTGTTCAGATATAAGTGACTCTAGCCTCCATTAAGGGAAATCTATTTGAATTTAAATGGCAAACTGTGATACATGCCTGTGCAACAGTTACACAGCAATTTCAATTAGGACAATTTAACTCCAACACAACATGTTATAACTATATGTCTGTTATATTTACCAAAAATACACAGCTTACTAATTCTACAGCTAATCTACAAATGAAGAGTGAGCAGTAAATCACAACAGATATGCTGGTTGGGTAATAAGGTCGTTTAWATCGATCTTGAATTAATTTTCTTTAAATTTTGCAGTATAGATCCATAGGGCACGTGACTGATTTTTCTCCATGACATTAACCTCTATAGTCTTGTGCGTGATGAAGCAAAGGCAGTTTTTAAAAAAAATCTTGTCACTCCAGGCTTACCATATTCGTCGGGTTGATGTTCAAGTACACAAGCGTTATCGTTAACTTCACAYTACAAAAGAAACTAAAGAATTACCAACATTACTAGCAGATTTTTCATGGGAAAAAAAAGGGGGGAGAGAAAAAAAAAAAGAGTAGTGAGT